CGGAGGGAGGAAGGGGGAGGGGGAGGGAGGGAGGGAAGAAGGGAGGGAGGGAAGGAAGGAAGGAAGGAAGGAAGGGCTGGCCTGGAAACAAGAGAACATGTAGTCTACCAATGCTTAGGTCATAAAGTCCTGCGAAGGATAAGAGACCTATCACTCCCCTGACACAACTGAAAGGAGAGGTGAGCTGAAATTTACTAAAGTGGGAAGCCACTTCAAATCACCTAGACTGAAGGACAGAGAAAAAAGAAAAAAAACCAGTGTCAGAGATCTCTGGGACAACACAAAATGATCTAACATACTAGTAACCGCCCTTCCAAAAAGGCAAGAGAAACAAAATGAAGAAATATTTGAAGAGAAAATGAATAAAAATCTTGCAAAAGCAAAAGATTTTAACCCACAGATCCAAGAAGCTCAGCAAGCAACCATGGGGACAAAGAGAAGAAAAACAAGAAAAGTCATACCAAGGCACATCAAGATCAGGCTGCTGAAAATGAAAGATGAAGAGAAAAACCTTGAAAGCAGCAGAGGGAAAAACAGACATTACATTGGAGGAATAACAAGGAGAACAACAGACTGACAAGTGACTCACTGGAAACTATGTAAGTCAGAAGACAATATACTTTACCCTACATGAAGTGTTGAAAAAAAAACTCCCAACCTAATGTTCTATACCTACCCAAAAGAAGCCTTTAAAATTGAAGACATTTTCAGACAGCTGAGATCATTCAGAGTGCACAAAAATACTACCTCCTCAGCTCACAAATAAGACAAAGATACCAGTTATTGCCACTTCTACTTACTTGTACTAGAGATTCTATCAGGATGATTAGGAAAGAAAAAGAAATAAAAGGCATACAGATTGCTGAGGAAAAAGCATAGCTATCTCTATTCACAGGTAACAATCTTGTATATGGAAAATACGAAATAATCCACTAAAAACCTATATGAACAAAGCATCAGTTTAGCAAGATTCCAAGATCCAAGACACACACACACACACACACACACACACACACACACTTACAAACTGTTTTTCAACAAACTAGCAATGAATGTCAAAAGTAAAAGTGAGAAAATAGTTCCATTTTAAAATCACATCAACAAGAATAAAATATTTAGGAATAAATATAATAAAAGAAGTGTAAGTAAGGCTTGTACATGGAAAATTACAAAACACTGTTGAAACAAATTAAAGACCAAAATAAATAGAAAAACATCCCATGTTTATAGACAAAAAATATTTCATTTTGGTAAAACAGCAATAATCTCTAAAGTGATCTACAAATTCAATGCAATCTCTACCAAGGTGGGATTTTTTTCAGAAAGTGACAAACTGACCCTAAAATTCACATGGAAATGCAAAGGACCCACTAACATAACCAAAGCAATCTTGAAAAATAGAAACCAAGTTCTCAGAGGACTCCTACTCCCAGATTTCACCTTGCTACAAAGCTACAGTAATTAAGACAGTGTGTCTATTTGTTTGGTTTGGAGACAAGGTCCCACTCTGTCACCCAGGCTGAATTCTAATAGCACAGTCATACCTCATCGCACCTTCAAATTCCTGGGCACAAGTGATCCTCCTCCTACTTCAGCCTCTTGAGTAGCTGGGACTACAGACACACATCACCACACTCAGTTATTATTTTTATTTTTTGTAGAGACAGGGTTTTACCATGTTGGCCAGGCTGGTCTCAAACTCCTGGGCTCAAGCTATCCTCCTGCCTCAGCCTCCCAAAGTGCTGGGATTATAAGCACGAGCCACTGTGCCTAGTCAACAGTGTGATACTGACATAAGACTAGATATACAGATCAACTAACAGAATTAAGACCTAGAAATAAATGTCCACATTTACGTCAACTAATTCAACTGCCAAAGGTACCAAGATAATTCCACAGGGGAAAGAATGGTCTTTTCAACACAAAAAAAAAACTGTGTTACCGCAAAGGCTTGTACACAAATGTTCACAGGAACATTATTCATAACAGCCAAAAAATGAAAACCTTACCGTCCATCAACTAATGAAATAAAATGTGGCATCATCCACACAATAAAATATGATTTGACAATAAAAATAAAGTACAGATACATGCTACAACATGGATGAACCTTAGAAACATCAAGCTAAGTACAACAAGCTGGGCACAAAAGACCACGTTATATGACTTCATTTATACAAAATATCCAAAATAGGCAAATCTACAGAGACAGAGACAGGTGATTGTGTTGGACTGGGTGAAGTGGGGGAGTGGATGAGGAAAAATGGGAAGTTACTTTAATGGGTTTTCTTTCTGGGGTGGTAGTGGGAATGTCCTAAAACTG